GTTTCAGTCACGCTCTCTGCTCTCTCACCTGGCGCTGCAGCGCACTCCTAATCCCCGCCTCTCCTCTCTCTCTACCTTCATCTTTCGGCCTCTCGTTCTCTCTTCTCTCTGCTCCTTCTCTTCTTCTCTCTTTCGTCCTTGGGTCCAGCACAGTTTCACACAAGACACACACACACACACACAGCAACACACACACACACACACAAGACATACACTACATACATACCATACAATACATACATACATACATAACATTTACACACACACACGGATGGATCGATGTATGGATGGATGGATGACGGGTGGATGGATAGATGGATGGATGGATGGATGGGTGGATGGATGGATGGAATTGGATGGTGGATGGATGGAATGGATGGATGGATGGATGGATGGATGATGGATGGATGGATGGATAGATAGATAAATGATAGATAGCGAGGCCGAGAGAGATATATGATGGAGAGGGAGAGCTCGAGAGCGAGAAAGAAGAAAGATAGAGAAAGGGAGAGAGTGAGAGAGTCACGGAGGTCGAGCGAGCGACAGATAGTGTGTGTGTGCGGAAGAGAGAGAGAGAGAGAGAGAGAGAGAGAGAGAGAGAGAGAGTAGGTGAATGAAAGCGTGAGAGCGAGAGGGAGAGACAGAGAGAGGGTGAGCGCGCGCGAGACAGCGAGTGAACGAGGGATAGAGATAGCGCAATAGTGGGCAAAGGAAAGAGAAGTGGAGAGAGATTGAGAGATCAAGAAAGAAAGTGAACGAGTAGGCAAGATATCGATCGTAGATAGAGCGAGAGCGCGAGAGAGCGAGAGAGAGTGCCCGAGGGAGTGAGCGAGAGAGGGAAGGGCTGACAGAGAGACGGGTAAGCACCGTGTGCGAAGTTGGTGTCCAAAAAGTGAAAATTTTGCCCTGAAAAAAACGGCTGGCTATCAGAGTACAAACAAAAAAGTCGTAGACCGACACGAAAAAACGATAAATACACGGGATTTTATTGGACCCGATTGCGCGCGAGCGGGAAAGAATGAGCTGATGGTTCTCGTGTCGTGTCGTGTGTGTGTGTGTGTGTGTGTGTGTGTGTGTGTGTGTGTGTGTGTGTGCGTGCGTGTGTGCGCGCGTGCGCGCAATCGGGTCCAATAAAATCCCGTGCCCCGTATTTATCGTTTTTTTCGTGACGGTCTACGAGTTGTTTGTACTCTGATAGCCAGCCGTCGGGCAATTCTTTTTGGCGACACAACTCGCAACGGTGTACCCGTCTCTCTGTCGCCCCTTCTCTCTCGCTCGCTCGCTCTATCTATCTATCTATCTATCTATCCATCCATCCATCCATCCATCCATCCATCCATCCATCCATCCGTGTGTCTCTGTCTGTCTGTGTGTGCGTGTGTGCGTGCGTGCGTGCGTGCGCGCGCGCGTGTGTGTGCGTGTGTATGTGTGTATTCCTGACTATCCTCAACCCATGTCTTGCTTGATTTCTATCACCTTCCCCCTTTCTCTGGCTCCCTCTCGCAGCTCACTCACAGCGAGCCCCCGCCAACAAGCGGCACATTACCACCTGTGGTATGGCAGCGATTTGACAGCGTCATTGCGTACTTGGCAGCAGACCCCGCTAAACGATTCCATGGCACCATCTGTAACGAACCTCGCTCAAGTATATCGTTTATTCCCGGCCCGCCTAATCAGGGTATTCAAACGTCGCCATTTCTCTTCCTGAATTGCTGACCAACGCCTCTTTTCTTGTCAAATACCTGCTCATTCTCTCCGGCTCGCGGGCAAAAGCCTGCAATAAAATCCCGGGCCTCGTAGTTCTCGTTTTTCCCGGAGCCGGAATCGCATATTTGTTCGAATGTTGATCGCTGGCGCGAGCATTTACTGGCCAGCGTCCGGGACGCGGGGACAGGACAATACACGAACGCTTGTTTCGCGACACAACCGGAGCTGACAACACACGGGCAATGATCGATGTATTGTTATTTATGACGTCAATCCAATCAGGTTTTTGTCGCGCCGGTACATATAAGCGTCTAGTTTCAGCCTTTGCGCGCGTTCAGCTCTTGGACAGACGTGAGTAATCTGGTTAGAAGGCGATGTACTGACATCATCCACGCGAGCAAGCACATTACTCAACAAGATGCAGATCGTCGTGGTAACGGCGCTGATCCTCAGCATCCTATTGCAAGGTAGGCAACATCTCTTATTTCAGTTGCGCACGGGCAGTACTGCGGTTCGCGCAACAATCTGTAAATATATTACGGCAAAGCTTCAAATTATCTTCCTGTAATATTTCCTCCGAATGATAATTGACATCCATTCGAATTTCCACCTGTTATCTTTCGCCGACAATCCCCAGCACGCGCGCATCGAGTGACGCACGAGTCGTACAGGAGTTTAGACGCGCAAGTTTGGGACGAGGCCGCTCTACTGCCTGTGAGATATTGCGCGCGAAATATTGACATATGTCACGTGCGCGAAAATCCGCTACTTCATCAACGTCATCAGTTTTTTGCATGCAGCTCCCTCTTCTCCTGCGGTCGCGCTCTCTCTCTCTCTCTCTCTCTCTCTCTCTCTCTCTCACTCGCTTTCTATTATTTTATCTTTCGCAATCATTGTCAGCGCATGTTTGCGCGCTTATTTAGTTGCGATTATACCACGTTGCGGAGGCACAAGAAATCCAGAACGCAAACCTTAAATAAAAAGTACTCCGTATATTTACGTACGAGACAGAGATAAATAGCAATGACAACCGTGCACGAATACGGTCAATATGTAATATTCTATAACTCGCGCGGCAACACTATATAAACAATCAGGATACACACGGTATAACGATATAACAACTATATATAGTGGATTTTCATCATCTTCTTCTTCGTTGTCGTCGCCTTCTTCTTGCTCTTCTCCTTTTTCTGCTATTTCGTTCTCCTCCTCGACCTCCTCCTGCTCCACCACCACCACCTCCTCTTCCTCCTCCTCATCATCTTCTTCTTCCCTCTCTGCTATTTCTTCTTCTTTTTTTCTTCTTCTTCTTCTTCTTCTTCCCCTCGTCTCTTTCTACTTCTTCTTCTATTTCTTCTGCTTCTTCTACTCCTCCTCCTTCTTCTTCTTCTTCATTTTTACATAACAAAAGTATACGTTAACACCCAACCCAGTCTTAACTAATGTCGACCAACGTAACTCACGCACGAGAACCTCCCGCCCAACCACGCAGCCACATACACACGTACACGCATACACGCACACGCACAAACGTACGCATACACGCACGTATGCGCGCACGCGCACACGCACAAACGTACGCATACACGCTCGTATGCGCGCACGCACACACACACATATGTACGCATACACGCTCGTATGCGCACACGCACACACACACATACGTATACGCATACACGCTCGTATATGCGCGCACGCACACTCGCACGTGTGCATGCACGCACACGCATACATCCACATAGACGTACACACGTGCAGGCACAAATGTATAAACGTATACACGCACGTACGCACGCACGCACACACGAACGTACACGCACGCGTCTTTAGTAGGTATTGCGAAACTCTAACATTCCGCGTACAATAACAGTCACCTACATCCCATGCAGCGAGCACCACACCGATGATCATTTTAATCCCGCCTTCGTTTCAGCTGCCGTTGCCGTAGACGACGCCGATCTCTTCTTCCCGAGAAAGAACATCGACAACTATGCTACTGCGGCGGCGATGTCGGCAGCCGACCTCGGTGAGGTGTCCGTCTGCTTCTGGGTGCGGACGCGCGACACGACGACGGATCTCACCGTGCTATCGTACGGTGTCGAAGGTCAGGACAACGAGCTGGTCATCTACATGCCCGTCGGCAGCATACGCTTCTACGTCGGCGGCCCGAAAAAGTGAGTGCGCCATTATGATGAGCTGCTGCTGCTG